TTTCTCTTTGCAGAGGTACTTCAGCTTTGTCCCAGGTCACCTGGTGCTGAGTCCTTCAAACCCCTTTAGTTCAGGGGTTGCAATGGAGTGACAGGTTCATGGTTGGATTTGATGATTCTTAGAGGTCTCTTCCAGCCTTGATGATTGCATGGAACCTCTTTCATTTCAACACTTTTTCCAGGCCTGAGGTGTCTTCTGGGCCACCCTTTGTACAGCCAGCACCTGGTGTGGTTGTGTTGTCAGTCCCTGCACCAGCCATTCCACCCTGCAGCTGAGCTGCCTTTACATACAGTTGCCTGTTTTACCCCCAAGGACCTCTCAGACTGTTCCTGCTGCTGTCACACTCTGGGGGTTTGTCTCCCTGTCTGTCCACTGCATTCCCCAGCTCTCCTTACACCTGCTGCTCTCCAGGTTCTTCCAGCATGTTTCTCTGGGTGGCAGCCAGTCCCTGGATTGGTGTCTGGAGGTGTTTGGAAGCTGCTCACGCCGGGAGAAAAGAATTACACTCACACAGGCACTTTGCACAGGGTTGTGCCAGGATCCTGCTCCCCAGCCCCAGCTGTCTGCAGACCTGAGCCACCAGAGCTTTCCTCTGAGTGCTGCTGGTGCTAGTGGTGCTGCCAAACACTCACCCACCTCTCCTTCTGCCAGGTGTATCCGTGACATCCAGTAACACAGGTGTGCCGGACATCTCGGGCTCTGTCTACTCCAAAACTCAGGTCAGTGTCTGTGAGTGCTGGGGAGGGGAAGCCCAGCTCTGAGACAGCCTCCTGGGCAATGAGGGCTTGGATCAGTCAGCCAGGGAGAAGGGAAATGCTCGACTTTTCCCAGTTTAGAGCAATCCCAAGCCCAGAAGGAGGTGAAGGAAGAGACTCTATGGGTTCTCTGCACTGTGACGTGCAGAGCAGGGGAGGAGCACCCTGCCAGCCTGTCTGCCAGCCCTCACCGTGCTGTTGGCCTCTCCTCCCCAGCAATCCTTCGAGAAGCAGGGATTTCACACTGGAACCCCGGCAGCCTCCTTCAACCTGCCTTCAGCGCTGGGCAGCGGCGGCCCCATCAACCCCGCGACGGCGGCCGCCTACCCCCCTACCCCCTTCATGCACATCCTGACCCCGCATCAGCAGCCCCACTCACAGATCCTCCACCACCACCTGCAGCAGGATGGGCAGGTAAG